ATAATCTCCAAATATCAAAAACCAATAATCACATATGCCAATTGTTTATCACAGAATAAGAATCAAAACATATATTGATCTTACAATCTCTCCCTTGATGAACACATTGGCAAACCCATCAAAAATGTTTTGGTGTTTGGAAAAATAAAAACAAAAGCGGTAAAAAGCACACTTCGTACAAATGTACACATCGTGCTCAAAAATCCAAAAGAAAACTTCTCCCCCTTTTTAAAAGAAAGAAATTCCCAATTGAACCAAAAACATGCTGTTCTCAAAAACTCTTCTCTTCTTCCCTTGCTTCTCGTAAAAAACCAAAAAAAAATTTCACCTTACTTCTCCCCCTTTTGACAATGATTTCATCAAGCATAGGAATTATGTTCATTACTTCTCCCCCTTTTGACAATGATTTCATCAAGCATAGGAATTATATTCATTAATGTTCAAGAGCTTAGCATGCATATAGCATATCAAGTCATGTGTTGCAATAAAAAGAAGATGAACCCATCTATAACAGAACAAGCATGCATTAAAGTATAATCATGAACCAAAGATTTTACAATTAAGCTTGAATCAACAATCAAAATTCATGATTTCATATATTTATAATGCAACATCTTTACAAGCACATAGGTTAAAGAATAAACACTAAACACATATACCTATTGCATTTATCACTCTTTCTCAAATAACCTTTAGCACAAAACAACCAAGAGAATTTTTGAACTTTTCTTTTCTTGAGCCTTTTTGCTCATATTTTTCTCTTTTATTCCGGGTACGTCCCTGTCGTCAAGACTGTTTCCAGGGATTCGGCACCCATTATTTTGCTCACATCAAATACGTCCTTGTCGTCAAGACTGTTTCCAAGGATTCGGTATTCACTTTTTTCATATTTTTTATTCTCTTTTTCACAATGAGCAATTAAAGCTATTTGAGGAATAACAAGTCAATAAAGCATATATATAAAACATTTCTAAATCAAACCATATGCTAGCATCAACATTGCATATTTTCTTAATTCAAGTGAAAGAATTTGTGTCATGCATCATCTCCCTTAAAAGCAAAATCTAAATCTCATGAAAAGACTAGAATATATACAGGCTATGCTAGAGACAAATAAACCTTCAAAGTATTGCTAGAATGCACAAGAAAATACCATATGTATATAATAAAGCTCTCTTTTTGCAATTTTTTCATTGTCATATTTTTGCTTGATAAAACCATGAGGTACAAACTCCCCCTCAAATCATGCCAAAAGAATTCATGAATAAGCACTAACTCCCCCTCAAAATAACCTCCAGTTCTCCCAAAATAAAAATCAAGAAGAAATCAAAGATTTTGAAAAGGACATCCAATTGCCAAAGATATCACCAAAACTCTCAAGAATTTACATACATCCAATAGTATTAACCAAAACTACAACCTCAAATACTAGCATATGAAAAAGCTAATAAATTAGAGAGTAGAAGAAAATTATGTCAATCTAAAAGTAAAGTGATGTTACCTTGCAACACAATCGTCGTCTCAAAATTGAACACTCATGGGGAGTATGCCGCGAAAATACCTACGAACCAGAAGATGTCGAGGCCTCCGTGTTGGGGTTAGAAATAAGAAATTTTGGAATCCAACACTGAGTCACATGACCTGTAGAACCAGTTGGTACAAATGCATTGACAAAATCAGAATCAGACTTACCAGAAAAATTACCTTTTTGCTTCACAAAAGTCTGAGTTGAATTTTGCACAAAATTGCCCCGAGACCGGTCTGACCGCCGCTGTACAGTCTGATCGCTGGCCGGTCTGACCGACTGGTCAGTGTCGGTCTAACCGTGGTCCTCGAATTAAAACCCGATTTTTGCCAACGTCGTTTTGCAAAAGCAATTTCTCTTTCCATTTTTTATTTATGGGCAAGTCTAAAACAAAAACCAACCAAATGTCCATCTTTTCCACAAAAAAGAACAAGTGTACTTTTCACAACAAGTTTGTGAGGTAGATGGTTTTGAAATTGATGGTTTTACATCAACAGAAGGTTTTGCATTCACAACATTTGATTTCGAAGAAGATGCATTCAAAGAAGACATGATGCCAGCAGATTTAAACACAGTGTTCTTAAGCTCAGTTTCAATCAAAATTTCACCTCTCCCAGCAGCACCCAAAACAGTAGAAGGATGTCTAGTATGATAAGCATAAGGATCAAAACCTAAACCACGATTTTGTGTGCTAACCTTAGATTGATCAAGAATCATGTTGAGGTTCTTTTTACCATCAGAAAATCTTTGCAAAAAACTTTTCAAATAAGAAACCTCCAGAGTAAGAATAGCACAATTTTTGCAAGCATCAAAAATACCTTTTTGTTTTCTACAAGTTGAGCAAGAAAACACCTCATCTTGTTTAACAATTTCTTTCATGTGTTTAATACGCTCTAAAGCATCTTTCAACTTCAACTCATTCAAAACACACTTTGAACAATCTTGAGAAATCAAAACACCATTGTTCTGTTTTGCCTTATTCGTACATGAAGCTTTGACCAAACAACTCGCACAAAAAGCAACTTTGTATTTTTTTCAAAACGTTCTTTGTCAAAATCAACTCATCAACAACACAAGCATGTAAAACAAATCCAAGAGCAAAAGAAGAGTCCAACTTTTTAGATTTTTCAATCTCAAATTCCAATTTCTTGCAATTAACATAATTGACATCTCGCAAAGCATTAATTTCAGAAAATAAAACTTCACAATATTGACAATTATCATCATTAGGAATCAAAGATTTCAATGTAGCAATTTCAGCATTTAGAATCTCAATAGTATGATCCTTCTCATCAAGCGCAACAGAACATGTTTGAAGTTTCTTAGCAAATTTATAAGCAGCATATTCTAATTGATCATAACTAAGCTTTTCTTTATTATCATCATCAGATTCATCAACATCAGAACTTGCATTACGAGCAATAAAAGCTAGATCAACAACTTACTTACCTTTGCTCTCATCTTCATCTTCCGATTCATCAAAAACTTTTATGAGTTCTTGGATTAATCACTGCATACAATGCTTCTTCTTCTCCTTCTCCTTCATGTTCTTCTTCTTGTTCACGTCATCATTTTTGACTCTCACATAATCTTCCTTCTTTCCTCTCCCAAGCTTAGGACAATGCGAGTGAAGATGATCAAGTGCTCCACACTCAAAACAACGATTCGGTTCTCCTCTTTTCCTGTTTCTAACATTTTTTATAGCTCGAGAAAATTTGTTAGATAACAAAACCAAGTCCCTCCTAGACCTGTTCGAGTTGATCATCGGACATGGCATTAAATAAAGCAAGAACAGAAGACTTCGATAAAGAAGCACCAACATCCAAAGAAGTCGAGGAAGAAACCAAAGCACTAGACTTAGAATCAACTTTACGAGCAAGAATATTCATCTCATGAGTTTTCAGCTTTGTATAAAGCGAATCCAAAGTCAAAGTAGACATATCAACTGACTCCTGAATAGATGTAACTTTCATCTCCCAAATAGACATGTCAAGACCATTCAAAAAGTGACGAGAAATCTCAGATTGTGGATAATTAGCATCATAAGAAGAATCAACAGATCTAAGATCACTCAAAATTTTATTAAACCGAGAAAGATAGTCATCCAAAGCTTCTCCAGGTTTCATCTCAAATTTAATATACTCCTTTTTTAAAACATCACGATGAAGTTCTTTAATATTATTTGTTCCTTGATGAAAATTACTCAAAGCAATCCAAATCTCATGAGCAGTTTGAAGATGAGCAACACGACCATAATCCGAACGAGAAATCCCACTCAAAAGAATATTGCGAGCTTTGCAATTTTGTTCAAACTCAGTTTTTGCAGAATCGGTATTAATAACTTCAGGAATCACATAAGGATGAGAAACTTTTCTCCAAATATCATAATTCTCAGAATATCATAATTCTCAGCCATAATGTAAGATTGCATTCTACTACACCAATGAGAAAAATCCGTTCCATCGAAAACATGAGACTTAGTTGAAAACTTATTAGAAGTAGCCATGGCAAAAACACTAGATCGGTTAAAATCCAAAGAAGCAAACAAGGCTCTGATACCACTTGTAGGATTAAATAACAAGAACTAAGCCAACCAGAGGGGGGTGAATGGTTGGTATACCCAAAAACCAAAAACTTTAAGTGGAAATAAAAGTTACCCTCGAATTCGACGGAAGTCGGTCTGACAGAGATTGATCTGCCGGTCTGACCGAGTGGATGCCGCCGGTCTGACCGGTATAGATCACCCAGTCTGACCGTTGATGTCACCTGCCGCACCTGTTGCCGCCGCCGGTCTGACCGCCGTGCTCTCGCCGGTCTGACCGCCGCCTTGCCATCGGTCTGACCGCCGGTGAATTGCCGGTTAGACCGCCGAACCCGAAGAAACACAAATCGAGGAACTCTTAAAGTAGATGATAACTTTATTACTTCTCTCTGTATTTACATAGTGCAACAACAGCACTCCTTACAAAAATCTCGACTAAACTCGAAACCCTAGCTAAACTAGCAACTCAATTGCTCTCCAAAGCGATACAGGGAAGCCTCACACTCCCCCTCTATTTATACATGAGGTAGGCAGCCTAAAGCCATGAACCAAACTCATACTAAGAGTCCTAAACACCTTAGGAAACACTCTAGTACAAGAAAGAAACTTTACATAACCAATCGTACCAAATTTGGACTCCTTCCAAATTCGACTCCGCATCCCATACGCACACAATACCTCCATCGTATGCCATATGGAATCTTCACCAACCACGTGCATCAACTCTAGCCTTAGTATCCCGCATGATATCTGATCACCACGGACATCGTCTTACCACCAAGCCGACACCCGGTACATCACCGCAAATACTCTCCCGAGGCATCGAGTCACCTACACATGAAATAAACAAAGAAACTATATTCCGAGACCAAGCTATCTCCAACTTTACTCATTAGTAGCAAACAACAGTATTACATACGCATAGTATCCATCTAGAAGCCATAACCATGAAACAATCACGGATATCCAAAGAAACAACCCGAAACCGAAACCAACTCAGCGTCGGCCGGTCAGACCGCGGGCCTGGTCGGCCTGACCACACACATATGCCAATTGTTCATCACAGAATAAAAATCAAAACACACATTGATCTTACACGTGGCACGCTTTTTAAACTGCTAAACGGTGTATTTCGTGTGAAAACTATAGGGACCCACGTATTCCACTTCTGAGGTAGAATACCGGTCTACGGCTCATTCCTTGGTAAGAACCAACTTACCAAGAAATAGGCACATCAAAGTAGCATAGCAGAAACAATTGCAGCGAAACCCATTAAATAAAAACCATAAGAAATTAGTTTTTACCAAAATAATAACACTAACTGCACCTTGCTCTTCTAGATCTTCATCACCTTCAACATTAAGTTGATGTAGAGATATGCCACACTTGATCAATTTTGTAAAATCTTCTCTTCACCTAATTGTTAGCTCAACACTACAACGAATTAAATATATGTATACATATATGTATACATATATATATATCGATATACATATATGTATACATATATGTATATATATATACATATATATATATGTATATATATAAAAGAGATGAGTACGAATGGTAATCAACAAGTCCAACTATAGCAATCCAACAAATACATGCCCATAATCTATCTGCCTAATATATATAAATATGTCCAAAGTCCCATAATCCAACAAGGAGATACATGCATGTTAATAAAACAGTGTTGCGAAAGATCATATTAAGTAATTATGAAATCTACTACATATAAGGCACCACAGGTATTAGAACCTCCGATAGGTTCCTTTCCTGCCACGTTCGTAGTTTCTACCCGAAACAGTGAGTGACATATCACAATTCATACACTCTGCAGAGGTGTGTCGCTGTACCCACAGATGCCTTAAACCTTTTAATGCCCACACCCATCGGCGCTTGAAGCACACTTCATGGTGTATGCCGACAAGGCTAAGGTCACGAGCTTTTCATCAATCCCATTTGTCAATTATCTCTGCGGGTGATTCCCGCAACAACGGCGAATCATTGGATCCCACAACAATGGCGATCCACATCATCTAATCGGATTCCGCAACAACGGCAACCCTCATCGCTAGGCCATGCTCGCGGGATTCGCGGAAATCCTTAAGCCCGCAGGATAAAGCCATTAAGAAAGAACTACTAAGCCAGCATGTCCCATTCCAGGTCATATGGTCGACACGATCGCTACGGCGCTTGAATGCCATATAACAGTTGTTGTTTAACCTTATGATGATAAATATATACAACTGAACCCCCACCACCATAGCAAGTTCAGAATACATCTATAGTATGACCGACTGCTCCACCAGTCAATCCAATCCATCAATATAATTATTTCAATTACAGAAAGTATAATTTAATGCAAGGTCTACATATAGATTGCAATTACGAAAATATAACAAGATTTGGTGAAAGGTGTTAGACTTGCCTGAGATACCCGCATTCGAAGAACGAAAAAATCATTGTGCATATGAGATGTCTAATTCCTAATGTTGGCGGATGGCATGAGGCAATTCGATCAGATCTGCCAAAACCCGTGGCGAAGGCTATGGAGCAAGAACGGCGTGAGGCGAAGAGTCGCACGAGGGCCTTGCTAGGCCAGGGGCGTCTCGGGCGAAGGGTGCAAGGCGAAGACTATCTGCCGAAGGAAGACGACTTCGCCATGGCAAGTTCGCCCCCGCAAGGGCCGAGGAAGCCTTTCCGGCCCATCAAGTCTAAGGGCTGGCGATCACCAGACGGCCCATCAGGGGCCCATGAGACCCTATAACATTATGTACCTCTGTAAATGTCCCTTTCGTAAGGGTAATCATGTAAATTCCCCTGTACAACCTAAACCCTAGTAGTAAGAACCTGTAATGGGGCTATAAATAGTCCCCTAGGGCCATGTAATAGGGGGAGAAAGGAAGAGAATTCAAAAACTTAATACACTTCGTTTTTCCAACCACTGTTGAGTAACCACGTCTTTCGACGTATGCAGTTGTCATTTCGACAACAGCTGGCGCCGACCGTGGGGACCTCCGAGCGAAACCACTGAGAGCGAATGCCACCGAAGAGGGTCGTGAAGGAGAAGGCTGCCAGGCGGAGGGAGAGCGACGCCGGACCGGACATGGCTGCCGAGGAAGGAGCAGAGCTTTCGGCGCCCGTGGCCGAAGATGGAGGAGCACAAGCGCCATCACAACCGCCTTCGGCCCCTGCAACCTCTGTGCAAGTGCCGAACGCGACCGACGTGGCGAAGGCGGCTGCGGTGGCAAGGGCACTCTAGACCAGGGCGGAGATCCTTTCGACAAGCCAACCGGTGGTGCCCCAAGCCGCTCCATCGCAGTCGGCAGCGGCCCCAACTGCGCTCGCCGTCGAACAGGCCCAAATAAACCTTGACCCTGAAGCACAAGACGAAGCCGACATGGAAGCCATGCGGCGGAAAATGACACGGCTCCAAGACATGCTTCGCCAAATGCAAGAACAACAACAAGCATACGAGGCGGCAAGGCGGACCAAGGCCACATCGGCTCCAATCCTTCAGTATTCGGTAGGCTATGTCCCACCTCAAGTCCATCCGCAAGTGACGACCCAGCCCTTTCCGCCACAAGCCACACAAGCGCCGGTGTACTTCGCCGGGCAGCATCAACCACCTGGCCAAGCGCCACAATCAGTGGTGGAAGGGGCTTTGGCTCTGCAGGCACAACTTCAAGCTTTCCTTCAGCAACTCAACCAACCCCACTGCATTTCAAGCACAACCCCATCGGCCCGCCCGGAGGGGAGTACAACTCAAGGTACGCTTAATTGGTTGTCACCGATTCAGCCGGGCCTGGGAGTTTCGCCGTGGAATCAAGGACCGCAGTTCGACTGTCAACGCTGCCCAGGCGCCAACCGCTCGGCAGCAAGCACCGACTCCAGGCTTCGGAACAAACCAAGCACCAATTCAAGCTGCCATGACGTGGTCACAGCCAATTTTTGACCCGTCCATGGTGGCTCAGCAAGTACCACCAGTTGGAGCCGGGCAGCCGAACGCCATGGCCCAATCTCACGCACAAGTTGCGATTTCGCCCTTCGCCACACCGTACCCGCAGCAAGGTGCGGTAAACAGGGCGGGAGGCGAAAAGGGGCTACCGCTGAGTGGGGGAATCAAGACTCGTCCAATCCCACCCCAGTTCAAGTTCCCACCCGTCCAACGCTATTCGGGCGAAACCGACCCGAAGGAGTTCCTCTCCATCTACGAGTCAGCGATCGAAGCGGCTCATGGTGACGAAAATACCAAGGCGAAGATAATACATCTCGCTCTAGACGGCATCGCCCGTTCTTGGTATTTCAATTTACCAACCAATAGCATTTACTCATGGGAGCAATTGCGCGATGTTTTTGTCCTTAACTTTCGAGGCACCTATGAGGAGCCGAAGACGCAGCAACACCTTCTCGGCATTCGCCAAAGGCCGGAGGAGTCGATAAGGGAGTACATGCGTCGCTTCTCGCAAGCCCGGTGCCAAGTTCAAGACTTAACCGAGGCGTCGGTTATAAACGCCGCTTCGGCCGGACCACTCGGGGCGAACGTTGAAATTCACACTCCCGAACACAGTTTTCCTCGTCCCAGCTGGGGTAATCACCGTCTTCGAGTTCACGGTGGCGAAGAATATGGCGCCGAAGAGCTCGGCGCTGGGCTCAAACCCGGAAGTCCGACACGCCCAGTCAAAGATGGAGATCCAAACTAGCGCCGACGGGCTCAGCTGCGGAAGCTCCACCTGGAAGAGGCAAAGGATCTCCGGCAACAACACGTTGCACGGAAACCGCAGCCCCGCCTCAAAAAACACGGCGAACACCACCGTCCGATTGTCGAGAGGCTTCGGCACCACGGCTTTCCCCGGGGCGAAAGCCTGCCCCTCGACCACCGCCCCAGAGCTGACCAGCTTCGCCAGCTCGACGTTGTCCACAAGAGAAACCCCCAAAAAGGCGGTGCTGTCGTCATCGACTCGGCCGGGATCCGGCCCTTTCGCCGAAGCAGGGTTTGCCTTGCGAGGAGCCATGGCGAGTGGCGTGTATGCGGTGACGAAGAGAGCGAATGGGCGAAACACCTGAGGGGTCGAGAGACGCTGTGGAATAAAGAAACGGAGGAAGAGGGCGCACGCGGTAAAAATGGCGAGTGTACCGGTGAAAAGGAAAGAGGGGTGGAATATATAGCTTACCCGGGCGACCGTTCGCCTACCCACCAGTAATAAAGCGCCACGTGTCGCAAGGGTAGGCGAAACGGTAAATTTACACCGTCTGAGCGGCACAGTAAAAAGCCCACGAAGGGAAGGCCCAACACTGTTCTGTTCGGCCCGGGAAAAGAAAATATATAACCACCACTCGCAGGAGGCGAAGCGCGGCAAAACCTTATAGCCGCACAAGTAACAAACTTCATTCGCAGGAATAATGTAGGTTTTGGCAGGAGCATCGGTCGAAAGGGGGCGCCACATACCATACCACATGGTTTGCACGGTCTCGGCCGAAGCTCCAATCTCACCCTTGCCCGTGAGGGGCTTGTTGGCGGATGGCATGAGGCCCTTCGACCAGATCTGCCGAAACCCGTGGCGAAGGCTATGGAGCAAGAACGGCGTGAGGCGAAGAGTCGCACGAGGGCCTTGCCAGGCCAGGGGCGTCTCGGGCGAAGGGTGCAAGGCGAAGACTATCTGCCGAAGGTAGACGACTTCGCCATGGCAAGTTCGCCCCCGCAAGGGCCGAGGAAGCCTTTCCGGCCCATCAAGTCTAAGGGTCGGCGATCGCCAGACGGCCCATCAGGGGCCCATGAGACCCTATAACATTATGTACCCCTGTAAATGTCCATTTCGTAAGGGTAATCATGTAAATTCCCCTATACAACCTAAACCCTAGTAGTAAGAACCTGTAATGGGGCTATAAATAGTCCCCTAGGGCCATGTAATAGGGGAGGAGAAAGGAAGAGAATTCAAAAACTTAATACACTTCGTTTTTCCAACCACTGTTGAGTAATCACGTCTTTCGACGTATGCAGTTGTCATTTCGACAACACCTAATATGCTAGATCTATGATAGTATAGATTATCGACTCTCACTCCATGACCCAACTAGATGACTTACATGTATTTTTAAGTTCAATATAGTTAAATATATTCGTATGTTTTGATTCAGTAAAGATATATGATTTATATAACAGAATTTAGTTTTGGACTAAAATATCTAGTGTTAAAACAAATATCATTACACTTTTTATTTTTAAGAGAGTAATTATTTTAATTGAAAGAAGTTTTACTTTACTTGACACAGATTTTTATTCAATAATCAATAGTCCTTAAATCTCTATTACTTAAAAAATAAGAGGTGCTTCCATCATCCGTAAAAAAAACAGGTGAAAAAAAACCGGGCGAAAAAAAGAAAAGAAAAATCCGATCCGAAAAAAGGGGAAAAAAAACCAGGCCAAAAAAAACAAAGTTGTCCGATAAAAAAACGGGAATCTGTCCGATCCAAGAAAAAAAGGGGCGAAAAAACTAGGCAAAAAAAGAACAAAAGTTGTCCGATCAAAAAAAAGGGCGAACAAAAACGGGCGAAAAAAAGAAAAGAAAAAACAAATATGTCTGATCTCTATCTTCTCTATCTCTACTTTTTTTTTACTTAAAAAATTTCAAATGTTTCCATCGTCCGTTTTTAATAAAAAAATTTAGTGATTTCCCTCATCCGTATCCACATATAACAAGAAAAGTGCGAAAAAATCGGATGCGGAAAAAAGGGCGAAACCCGCCTGATCCTTTCCTCGGCGCTTCGCTTCTCCTCCCCTCTATTTTCTTTTTTTTATTATTATTTCTAACAAATAAATAAAATATCAGTAAATATAATTGGAGAGGCCTCTCCAATTAGTCTTAAGAGACACCCACGTGCTAATACTTTAGGAGTTTTGGTTGCTATTAATCCATTGAGCAAGTAGGGAAAATATTCCTATCATCTATGCTTCAAATAAAATTTTCTCTTAAATTACTCATCTGATTTACAATCCGTTTACACCGTTGTGTTCGTAATAATTAAATCTTTACAACAAGATCTCACATGATTATATTTTGATGAAAAATCACAAATTACTTTTATGATATGTCTAAATTACTTTTTAGATTTCACTAAGTTACTTCTTAGACATATAAAAGTAAATTCTGTAAAGTCTAAAAGTATATTACATATATTATAGAATTAACTTATAACAAAAAGAAAGTAACTTTAATTAATGCTATATATATATATACATATATTATAGAATTAACTTATAAAAAAAGAAAGTAACTTTAATTAATGCTATATATATATAGTTACTTTTAGATTGGATTAAAATACTTCTTATACATTCATAATGCTCTGAAGTGATTACTTTTATTATTTTTTAAGTTATTAAGTTAATTCCATAATTTGTGCTGATTAATTTAATTTCATAGAGTCATGTTTTTATCTCTACGACGGATTTACTTCAAATGGCATGCCAAAGTTACCTTCGTTTTATTCTGAGTTACTTCTATAATATATGTAAATTACTTTTAGGCTTTACTGAATTTACTTTTATATATCTAAGAAGTAACTTAGTGAAATCTAAAAGTAATTTAGACATTATAAAAGTAATTTGTATAAAAGTAATTTGTGATTTTTCATCAAAATATAATCATGTGAGATCTTGTTGTAAAGATTTAATTGTTACGAATACAACGGTGTAATCGGAACATAGATCGGATGAGTAGTTTAAGAGAAAATTGTATTTGAAGTATAGGTTGATGGTGCCTCTTATAGATGGAGTAGTAGAGCTGTGTAGTTACGTCCATAAAATATCTAAATTCCTAATCACAAAATGACAAAAGATCTAATCACAAACAGATGAAATTACCATCCCCCTTCCGATCTCTTTTTTTTAAAAAAAAAAATAATTAGGATAGTGATCTATAATAAGAAAAGGAATTATGTCTCACCACACCCGTCCTGCTATCTTTCCTCATGATCTCATCTTTTTTCTTTATCTTTATCTTTACCTATATATTTAAAATATGTAGTGTTTTTGTTGTTTGTCGTTGTCTAGCATACATCAACGGTTTTCATGTTCCTGCATTGTCGCCATAACAGCACGTGCAAGTCTGATCGCTCCCAAACCAAAATTCATCGCTTCCACGCCCTAGCAGCACGTGCAAGTCTAATCGCTCCCAAACCTAAATTCACCGCTTCCACGTTGATTGTCAAGCATCCCACATGTCAGATTCCAATAGGCTCCACGCACATCACATCTAATTTGCCTTCCCACACCAAGCGCACAACCATTAAACATATCCCGTTTCGCTTCTGCTCTACCTTTAAGTCTACAATTTAAATGATGTCAAACGATTGCCAACTCGTGAATTAGAAAATAACCGAGTCATTAATATAACAAACAAATATATAGTAACAAGCCTCATAATCCATATGACATGTGGGCCCATAATAATTAGGAAATCTAAATTAATAAATAATTAAAGTAGGTTCACTGTGTAGTGGACACGAGGTTTTTGAATATACACATGGAACTCGGTCTACATGAAGTCATGAACAAACAAACACCTAATTGAGAAACAAACCATATGATAATTTTAATAATACGTTCTTGAGGAAGTGCCCGGTGCCTGGTAGCTTGAAGTGGTCAAATTTCAATAATACGTTATCGAGGAAGTGCCTGGTATCTTGAAGTGACCACTGACGGTGACCTATACACCGACGGAGACCATGCAGGTGGTGTTGAGTAGGCCTATGTGAGATTTAAGAGGCGGTGTAGAGTGTGAAGATACTCGCAAAGTCGCAATGGGAGGCAAAGTGGTCGGTGTCACAAGGCATCGGTGAGGCCCAACAGTAAAAGTGGTTTGATGAAAATGACAACGTACTAGATCCCGTTGCAACGCACGGACATATTTGCTAGTTCAATAATACTCCTATGTACAGTCCACATGTCAAAGCCCAACAGAAAAGCCCACCTAGACCACCTTCTTCCTCTTCTCTCTTTTTCTCGTTCTCCCCTTCTCTCCCTCACGTTCTCTCCAGCGCCGCCGCTTCCTAGGCAGCGCCGGCGACCTCCCCTGCGCCGGCTGCCACACCCCACTCCGGCGACCCCTCTAGCCGTCGCCGGGCTGAATCAGCTTCTTGGCTCCTCACTTCTCTGCCCCTAAGCTAACCCTAGCCTCTGACCTCTTCAACCTAAGATGCAACCGGCGGCCAATTCTGGCGAGATAAGGATTTAGGGAAGTTTCCCAGGCCCCTACCGCTGGTACCACCTCGATTCCTCTCTTCTATCTCCTTCTCCCTGATCTCTAGTGTGTTGTACTGGTAAGGTGTTCTTCCCCCCTTGTGTGGTGATATACTGTGACTTGTGATGTATTGGGAATAATGATGGACTAACACCAACGGTTAACTTGATGACTCTATGATATGGATTGTGATTACTGACTCTAGGGTTCTAGGTCAATTTGTTTGCTAGGTGAATGATGCCTATGAATTGGTTCATGATGAATGAATATTGACATGAATAAACCTATGAATTGCATTACTGAAATAAAATCACACTAGCATGATTAAATCCTTAATTATGTTATAAAATGGCAATCAAAGTACTGAAATTTGCTACATACTAATAAACTAACATGATCAGATCCTTATGTTGTCATGCCGAATAGTAATTCAGAGGATTAATATGGTTTCATGAATACATGATGCATCATGGTAGTATCACTTAAGGGATCTAATGTCCTAAGAATTATAAATCTTGATTTTGATGACAAAGTATATGAATTACTGAAATCACTGGTAAATAATGGTGTTTTGTGGCATTGGTCTTAGCAAAGTTATGCTGATCAACTACTAAGGTTCAGATTCTAATGTTATGCTCTTCTAGGACTTGTGATTAGGACTCATAGATTTCTGTTTATGGATCTGCATTTATACAAAAGATGTACTTGTACACTTGCTATACATATTAATTCTACAGATTCGGTATTACTTATATGAACTTAATACATTGGTTCATTTTTTTAAAAACTGTTACAATTCTCACTGTGGGATAAAATTTGTACTAATCTACATTGATGAAAACTAATAGATGCTTACCCTAGTCTAAGATCATTTACTCTAAACACCCTGTTATAAGTAAATATGCCTACTCTGTTTATTATACCATATGTTTAGAATAATTCTTGTACTGAACATGCTGCTACATGCTATACAGGATACTAATATAAACTACTTATTTCCCTAAAGTATTATTGGAACTAGAGTCTGACTTGTTTAGGTTATAACTAATTCTAATTAAATATGCACATGTCAATGTTATGGCCTGTTTACATGACTAGAATCTGAAAGCTTATAAGTTCACATGCATGATTTGGTTCTTCTATATATGCTCTATTCCTAAAATCTTATGTCATGAACACTAGTTGATTTTATTCAAAAAATTTAGCTACAGATGCTTATTGTTACTATTCAGATTTCTTCTATGATAATTTATATATGTCAGGATTTAAAGACATGCACTTATATTTAACTTTATCCCCAAATTTTGTTACTTTTATTCATTTAGAATTGCTAAGGTTTTTGGTCAATATGGATGGTATGTATATATCTGCATGAACTCTAGCTCTAACAAATGCTGTTACTATGAATGCAGGATCTACTCTCCTCCCCTATTTTAATTTTTGGTTACCTCTGATGATTCTACCGTGATTGAAAAATATGTGGTTCAGCTCCTCCTTCAGAAATCCAAGTCTTCTCTTCTACTGCTGCTCTTCTGGATCTAAGGTGATTTTGCTAGAACTGAGCTTCTCCACCTTGAGCTTGGTTGATTGTTCCCCCTCTTGAACTGAACCCCCTGCTCTACTTGGAACTCAGGTAATTCTCCTCCTTGGCTCTTGCTCTACTGGTAATACTTGACTGCTTCCTGACAGGATCTGCTACTGGTGATTCTCTTCCTCCTCTTGAGACTAATCCTCTTTCTTGATTTTCGCTCTATCTTGCTTCTTGACCTGAGTTTCATCTCCTCCCATAGTTGGAGTTCATCCAAGAACTGAACACCTCTACTTTTCCTTCAGATTTGGTTCACCACTCTCTGATTGCTTGGCCATGGTTACTACTACTTGTTGATTCATGTATTGGTTTGAGCTGGACTTCAGTTGAGCTATTTCTGTCCGGGTGGAGCTAACATTCTAGCTGATTTTCCTAAGCTTGGTTCTATGATTCTAACTACTACTGCCGCAGCTGCTGCTATTGCTCTACTGCGGTAGGTGCTTGAGGTGGTTTTCCAGCCGATGCAACCGAGGCTGGGGTTCACTGAATAGTTTGGTTGATATATATGTGAATTTGGTGAAGACTAGGTGACTCACCTACTTTAGTTTTGGTGGTTGTTTCACTGACTGACACCTAAGCAGTGCTTGATCGGTGGAGTAATGTGGGATTTCACTAAATTTTTCTAGTTACATAAATTCTGATACAATTAGGTACTTTTGCACTTGAGTCCCTCGGGGTCTCTAAAATTGAAGTTTACTCTGAGATTAGGGACTGATTTGTAATTGTTCTAGAACTCAAGAGTTTTTCTGAAAACTAAATAATTATTGAATCTTTGACTGAGATGGTTCAGTTTATGATATGATATCCATAAGCACCATGCATATGCACAATATATGTGATGCATACTGTATAAAATTTCTAGAGAACATGTATGTATGCAGACCTGTAGTGGTAAATTGTAAATAAAGAACTGTGATTTCTACTGTGCACATGTGTACCTCGCTGCATAACAACTAATCTACGCTATAGTTTAACTAAAACTAAATTATCCCACTCCTCACCAGGTTTACTAACTAAAAATAAATCAATGATGCATATGGATATGACTTGATAAATAAATAACAAGAAAACGATCAAAAAATCATTTAAGATCTATAATAGAATAACAATCAACATATTTATAGGTCTTATCCAGCATCGTGGCTCAATCGACACCGCTCTCAGCTAGTGTGACCAAGTCATTAGCATGGCTAAGACTATAGCTAAAACCCGGGATGTTACAAAAACTTTCTATATGAAAGTTGTTCTAAAATATCATATTAATCCATTTTTCAAGTTTGTAATAATTAAAACTCAATTAACCAAACGTTATTATCACATCGTTTTGCATGAAACACTTAATCTTTATTTTTATCTTCATCTTCAGGTCATTCAAACACCACCTAAAAGGGACTAAAAGTGCATATTGGGACTAAAATCCATTGGTCCCTCTTGGAGGTAACTTACAGGGACTAAAGTGGCAACCTCCTCTTCTCTCTTCCTTGGTCCATGTGCTTTTAGTCCCTTTTAGTCCTTGGATTTAAACAGTAAGGAACTAAAGTTTTTAGTCTAGGGACTAAATGATCCAAATAGGGCCTAATAATTTGGCCTAAGATGATTAGATTGACCAGGTCCAACACACAAAAGTCCACAATTAATATATCATTTCTAGAAATTATATTAAAAGTTAAAGCAATTTAATCAAGTGAATTAACGTGGGAATTAAAAATTTCCTTTAAAAACCCTGGTCGAGAGTATTTTGTAATATTCTTTGTGCCCTAATGAACTCTCTGAAATTTCCCGTGGATTTTCGGAGCTCGAGAAATAATTTAAATAGCACAAAGTTCATTAAACCCATTTAAATTAAATGAAAAACAAATTATTTCCTCCTCCTTCACTTTGGGCCCCTTCCGGTCCAAAGCCATCCCTCTCTCTCCTTGGCCCGTTCCCCCTCCCTCCTTTCCTCCTTCCTCTCGAGCCGGCCTCTGTCCCTCGGCCTGCTCGCCCTTGAAGTCTATTCTTCCTCCCCCTCCTGGTTTCCCTCTCTCCCTCCCCGATAGGTGGGACCTGAGGCCCCACCAGTCAGGTCCATTCCCAACCTCTAGCCCACCTCCATGGCCGCCCAAACCTTCCCACATCGCCGCGGATTCCACGCCACCCCTCCCACCACCTCCACCCCAAGCGCTCGCGCTCGACCATGGGGCCTCGTCGCCCATGTCCCCGGCCTCCTCCCCCACTCCTTCGGAAACCGGCGCCGAACCGGCCACCACTTTCCCCACGATGCCGTCCCACTCGCCGGCCGTTGCCGCCATTCGCCGGCCGTTGCTGCCTCATCCCAAGCTCCCCGTCGCCATCTCGCACTATAAAACCCATGCTCGGAATTCTCTCTCTATTTTTTCCCCGATTCCCCGAGCTCCCCGCACCCTCTCCGGCTCTCTCCACGCTGCTTCCTTTCGTCGCCGCTCGCTAGCGACCTTCGGCCGCCCACCAGCACCGCTCCCGCCGTCCCCGCGTGTCGTCGCTTGTACAGCCAGCTTCGCCACCTCAAGGGAAAGCTCGCCCGCCACTTCTCTCTCCCTCGCCACCACCGAAATCACCTCTTCCACCACACACCCGAGCCACCCTTGCCATTCGCAGCCTTCGGCCGCCGTTTGGCGCCACTCCCTGCCACCTCACGCCGCGCCACTGCCTCCATCGCGTTCGCCTCACCCCACCGTACCCCGGCCGCCACTCCAAGCCACCGGAAACCCGCCAGAGCTCCGTCCCCCTCGCGTGCCAGTAAGCTCCACTACCTCCTCCGCCTTCGACCGATTTTTCCCGCCACCCCATGCCTCCTCGCACTCGCCTAACCCATCCATCGCTTTCCCTAGGTTGCCCCACACCCCGGTCGCCCCTTCGCCATTGCTGAGGCTGCCGGATCGCCATCCCGCGGATGCCGCTGCCATCTCTTACTGTCAACGAGTCCTCCCAGCCACCGCCGCTCGTTGTCTCCCACCGCCTCCCCTCCTTTTCCCCTCCTCCACTGCCTCCCGTGTCCGGCACCGCGTTGTGCCGCCATCACCGGCCATCCGCCACTGCCTTGCCAGGCTATATGGTGAGCCAGCCCTCCCCCACCTTGCCGTTTGGGTCGCTAAAATACCAATATGAAGTGCGTGATCACAGACATTTTGCCATTTTCTCCATTTTTGTCATTTTCAATTCCATTTTCATTGGAATGCAGCTTGATGAGACAAAATTGCCCTTGCTCGCCGGCTGAAAGGGGATCGAGATCCAGCTCATGGGAGGAAGAGGTGACAGAGGCGACCACCGTGACCACGGCGCCTCGACGAGGAGCTCCACCGTGAGCAGGTCACCACCCACATTGAGGAGCTCATTGGAGGAGCGCTCGACCTCTTCCAGGAGATGCAGCGGGACAACGAGCTTGTGCCCGACGCATACACCGTGCATAGCATCATTGGCTCGTGCGCCGGTGCTGGCGCTCTCCGCAACGGCCTTCCTCTTGGCTCTCCCCGAGGGCCGCCAGCTGCACGCGCTCGCCACCAAGCTCGGCCTCGTCCCGTCCCACACCATCATCGCCAAATCGCTCCTACACCTCTACTCTTCCGGTGGCCTCTCGGGTGTTGCGCTCGACCTCTTCCGCTGCATCCCCGACAGGTTGCTTGTGTCATGGAACACCGCCGTCGACGCCCTCGTTAGCAATGGCGACCACCTCGCCACGCTTAACCTCTTGCTCGGTTCCTTCCATGAGCTAGATCTCGATCCCCTTTCAGCTAGCGAGCAGGGGTAATTTGGTCTCATCAGACCACGTTCTAGAGAAAATGGAATTGAAAATGAAAAAAATGAAGAAAATAGCAAAATGGCAGTGATCACACGATTCATATTGGTATTTTAGCGAAATGCATTTTCAGTATGGCATTTCAGCGAAACCGCTTTTTGAACGTGGCCAAATGTCCATTTTCTCCACCACAACGGAACGAGGCTCAGAATGGCAATGGCGACCGACGACGAACGAGCACAGCAGGGATGACTTGGGGTAAACCGGCAGCGACCGAAGGACGAAGGCAAGATGAGGCCGACACAAGGCTTGATGCCGCAGAGCCGAGGACGAAGACGAGACTAGCGCAGCGGCACACTTGATGTAACGGGAACGACGGCCGGCTACGACTTTATGGAGGGAGGGCCGACGACGATGACTAGGAACAGCAAGAGGATGACGATGGTAGCCAACAACGAGACCGAGGAGGAATGCTGCTGCGATGCTTACGACAGTGGTGGCGCAGCGGGGCGACATGACGGCGAGGAGGAACAGCCAGCCAATGGGGGCGCTGATGAGGACGAACGGCAATGGCGACGGCAGATTCCGGCGAGGTTCGGGCGATACTGTTGGGCTAAATTCCTTCCACATTGACCCTTTCATCTCAGCCCATGTGCAGCCCAAAAATCCAAAGAATTTGAGCCATTGATTCACTTCTAAAATGGATGGTGGAGATTGCCTCATCTCTTTGGGGATGAGAAAAAAAACCCTAGCCTCCTTTGGGAGTGAAGCAACCAAGCAAGAACAGGAGAGTGGAGAAGAAGGTGTGCAGATTTTCAGTTTGGTGGCTCTAACCCGGCCTTCATCAAGTCAGCGATTGGAGTGTCAAATGTGCTTGGATCAACACCAAACTTGGTGAGTTTGTTCCTCACTTGGTGAACTTCAATCTAGCCAGTTTTGATGGGGATTGGTTGAGTAGAGCATCAGATTTAGGTATGGTTTCTTCAGCTCGAGTAACTGCAGTTTCAGCATGTACAGTCTATGGTAGAATATCAGTTTGAGGGGTCAAAAGGTGTCCGATTGGGCTGGTTTTTGGACAGCTTTGAAGGGACTCATAGACATCATTTCTGCCAAGTTTCGTGCAATTTGCATATGTGGTTTAGGAGATATCAGCTGAGAACCGAAGAGGACAGAATCTGTCATTTCTCTGCTTGTTGTTGTTATACCTCTTGTAAGTTGCTATGGTTGATGTTGATGATGCCAAGTGTGTAGCTTGGTGTTATGGTTGTTGTTGTGATGTGCCTCTAGATGTTCTAGAGAAGACTTCATTTGTACCCATTGTTGATTATAGTGGAAGCTTGGAGTGGACCGTTGGTCCCGTGGTTTTTTACTCCTCACACTGAGCAGGTTTTTCCACGTAAATCACCGTGTCTTGTGTACATGTGTTTATTGTTATTCCGCTGCTGATTTGCTAGTTGAAACTATCCTCAAAGTTCATGGCAAGATGAGGGATTGATTGTGTGAAATATGTTTGCTAGTTGGTGAATTGTAGTTTGCACATTGAAGGTCCTTTTGGTTCAGCCCCAACAAATACGAGGTGAGGCCGAGGATGGCCTTGCCACTGCGATGCCGGTAGAGGAGATGACCCAGCATACCGGCGCACGGACAAGGAGGAAGGGTTGGCCGTACGTAGCACTGACGGCGACGATGATCACAGGACATCGGCGACGAATGGCGAAACCGAGCAAAAAGGGGGGGAGGTGCAGGATGGCATTGCGGTGCCGGGGAAGACGACGGTGCGGCTAGCTGGTGCTCGGGCGCCGAGGCAGAGGCAGCTGGAGGGCCGGTAGCACGGTGGAGAGAGGATGGGGCGACGGGGCGGCTAGGGACTTGGGAGAGGGTAAAATGGAGAGAGTGAAGGAAGGGTGCTATGTTTTATAGGCCATGGGAAGGGGTAGAAACGGCGCCGGAGGAGGTGGCCGGTTGCATCAATGGCGGCATAAAGGAGGGGATTAAATCCCGGCGATTGGGGGCGGGAGGGGGAAAGTTAGGGGAAATAAAGAGGAGAGGATGGGGATTCCGTTTTTGCATTCAATACG